TTGGCCTACCGCTTGTACTAATAAAGTGCCAAGGGCCTAAGTGGTCACCTTAATATTTAAAAAAAAAAAAAAAAAAACTATACAGCTATATGGAAAGGAATTATATAACTTACTATAAGGATGTTTTGATTTTAGTAATAGTATTGCCACAATACAAATTATATGATTTTTATTATATAAAATTATTTAAATAGCCAAGTATAATATAAAAAATCTAAAATTTAATTACCTTCATTGTATACTGTAATTCAATCTAGACTCATATATATGAGTGAAGAAAAGGTAGATTTGAGGCACATTTGCTAGTATTTTTAGATAAATTGATGTTAATTATATAAATTTGCATATACATCTTAATTCTAAAAAGTATCAGCAAATTACCAAAGCAGATCTTAATTGAGGCTTCTATAAATTCATAGGACCCAATAAAGTCGATAACCAATTATAATTATTAATCAAATCAACAAAGGTTGGGTTTTCATTATTGTTAATGCTGTTTGTTAAAAACAGTAATATAATAGCTATAAATGAATATAGATGCTATAAAAAAGAGTAGATTAATTTGATAGATAATTAAAAATTTTATTTTAATCTTTAAAATGATAAAAAAAACAAGTTAAGTATTTATAGTTTAAATAAATTATCCTAAATATTTGAATTAATATGAATTCTTCGTACTCACGTATTAGTAGTAAGTTAATATTAATAAAATAATTAAATAGTAATTATTTATAAATCTGAATATAATTTATAATCTAATAAACCTTTTTAATACATATAAAATACAATTAGATAGTAAGTATTTATGGTTTAAATAAATTATTCAAAATATTTGGATTAATATACATTTTTTATACTTACATATTAATATAAATCTGAATATCTTGGATTAATAATAAATCACTTAGTATAAGATATATAACAATAATATAATTACTATAATTGTTTCTTGATACTTTTAAACAATTCAAAAAATAAAAAATTTTTATATCTAATTTTATAATTCTTGGATAAATGTGTTTGAACTAACATACTGAATATACAGTTGTAAATCTACTTTTTTCCAGTTCTTAAATATTCATAAACTCATATAATCAATTTAATAGAATTTAAATCTCTCATAATCTAATATTCTTTGTCGAATTTTTATAAAAATAAAAAAATATATTGAATATTGGAAATATTTAAATAAAAGTTTTATAAAGCAATACATAGACATATAACTTAAATTATTTTTATATTTAGACTAAGCTATTGATAATAATTTATTAGCAAATAAAAGATCTTACATATTACATTATCGCTACATGCAATTTTTTTTATATTTAATTAATTTGAACAGTTATACGTAGAATAGCACAGTATAGCAATATTTATAATATTAATATATATTAATATCTAGTTGAGCCATCATCGATATCATCACATGCTTCTACCTGATAGGGCATATTACAGTATTAATCAATTTGCGATAATATGAAGATGGAATCGAATACCAAGCAGCTTTAACTTTTTCTTCCAAGTCTTGAATACTTGAAGGGTTGTTTGGAAAATTATACAAACGTCTTTTAACTTCTTGCTATATATGTTCGATTGGATTCATATCTGGGCTTTGAGCAGGCCATGGTAATACAAGAAAATTGGCATTTTTAAAGACATTTTTAGCTTTAATGCATGTGTGAACAGGTATATTATCTTGTTGAAAGATGCCTTGCCCATTAGGAACTAATCGACATATAGCAGGAATTGCATGTCTTCTTAAAAGCTTTGTATAAGTATCACTATTCATTCTGCTACAGATAGAAATGATTGGTTCTAGTCCATACCAAGAAAAGTATCCCCAAAATATATAGCTAGAACTGTGTTTTATAGTAGGAACAAGACATAATTTATCAAACTTTTTAGTTAGGTATGTCAAACCTGTATATTGTGATTTTGTGAAAACTGGTTGAAAACTAATTTATCTGACTAGACAATGATTTTTGCCCAGATTTGCTATTTTACCTTATTGACTACAGAAATTAATAGCTTGTTATGTGTAATATAAGAGCAAAGTTCACATTTTTTTAAAGCACGACAGAGTGTTAAAATAAAAATTTTTTGATTTTTTTCTCTTTGCTATAAAGCTTGAATTTTGTGAAGAGTTAGACAATGATTCATAGCATTTTGTATAACAAGTTGTTTAAGTTCTTCTAATGCAGTTTTATCAAAGATAGGTTTTGGCTCTAGATGTTTTTCTGGCACTATAGAACCTGTTTTAGTATGCCATTTTAGAACATTATACATAGTAGTTTACTATACTTGATAGTTTTAGCAATAGTTAATAATGAATTCTTATACCCATAACTATAAAGAATTCCTCCATGCTGAAAGTTAGATAATTTCTTTTTTTTTGCTATTACGAGATGATAGAAAATACATATTAATCAAATTTTTAATTTCTTTTTATAATAGTTTTCTTGAATTCATATCATCATAAATATGAAATTATTATATTATAGTAAGTCAAAACTCTATTAAACTACTATGATTTATTAGACTTCACTACGATAAGCTAATTTCTATAAAAATTAAACAAAAATTATAGTGATTATAAATTTATTTAATAGACTCCAGAATTATTTATATTTTTAGTTAATTTATAGTACTATATAATTTTGAATAAAGAATCAAAGTTAAATTGACACCCAAAAAATTTCAGATCGTGTGATTTAATAATCACAATATGTAATTTACTCTTGTTATAGTAAAGCTCCAGGCTGAGAAAAAAATCTTCGCTATAGCTTATATTGAGAAAATACTAAACCTATATACGTACGTATATATGGTATAAAAAATTAAATCACTTTATATAACGAAAATGATCTACTAGTATCGAATCTTTTCTATAATAAGTGTTCACTAAATAAGAGTAAGTTGTGTTAGTTATACAATACTTATTAATAAAATTTTTATAAAAATAATAAATACAAAAGTATAATTAATTTTTATAATATGTGAATAATATAAGATATATAATTTAAACTTTTTTAGATAGCAATTCTCACCTAGTTGAAAAACAGAGTAATTATATTTGAGTTTATTTATTAATATTAATTTAGCATGTGAGTATATTAAATATTTTTAATTTCAGTATTTAGAATAAATTATTTATAAGTGTTTGCTATTTAATTTCATTTAAATTTTATCTTTAAAGCAGCCTTTACTTATTTAAGTATCAAAAATAAATTATAGTTAGGTTATAAATAATTTCTTTTTTTTTTCCAGTATTAAGGTGATCTCTTTGGCCGGGAACGTTTTATTTGATAGTTATATTTTTCAATTACAGTAAGGGTACATATAGCTACACGTGCACCTTTTGAGTGCCTAATTTAAGTAGTCTGCCCGAAGGTTCTACACTATCTGCCATACCTGTACTCCAACTAGGGGGGTACCCATTTAAACCCTCTAACCATAACCTACTTCCAAACCAATGAATACTATCTAACCTGAGGTGTAGCTTACTATACACAGGTAGTTCGCTATTGCCTAATCTGATTTTGCATCCACTTTAGGACTTACTAACCCCAAATGAGGCTAATCTATCCATGAGGTAAATCTAACAGAGTGGTCCACGTCCCACATGTGTATTCACCTGCATGTTCGGTAATTTCTTCCCAATTAGTACATATTGTTTGCCGCTATTGTGTTCGTATCTCATGCCACCTTTTGGGGTGCTGCCATAACACAATCCGTATCTTAAGCACAACCTTCCTAATTAGTCTTCCGTTACATACTCCTGCCCTTGTATTGGTTCACAACAACTCCAATACTCACATTCATGTTGTCTCTTTACCCGGATTCTTTATCGGTCCATCCTTAACTTCTAGCCGGCAACCCAGAAAGGTTGGTCTGCCCAGGCTTTAGGTGTCTGAAGGATGCCCTCCCCTTGGTCCATACTTTCGGAGCATATGGCCTTTTTCTCTGGTGCGTCTAAACTGGTAGTTCAGCTGGTGTGTCCTCCCACTAAAGGACCTGATCGCTCGGTTTTCCAATCTCAGGCCCCAGTTCAAATTTAGCTTTCATGTAGTACCGTCAAAGATCACTACTACCTCCAAACTCGGGACTTCCCAAACGGGCTTCAATTTCTGGTCCTGTGACCCATGCTATGCATAGCCCACAGATTACAGCTTTTCGGAATCACCTCAATGGTGCTACCAGACACCGTCTCGACAAATCCTCTATGAGCCAACCTTAGTGAAGATCGTCACAGACTTTTCCCATATTACAAAAGTGCTGTCTTTGGGATTTGAACATGGGATCTTCCCATAACGTTTGGTGAGGGTAACAACTAGACCACTTCACTAAGTCGCCACATCTCTTTTTAATTATTTTCATATATGTAATTTAAACTTTAATTATAATTTTTGCTTAAATTAATTATATCCAAAATTTTTTCAAAAATTATAAAATATATTTGTTTTTAAATTTTTATTCGAGTTTATTTGAACTAATTTTATATATACTCTTAACTTTATAATTTATTTAGCTTAAGAAGGCATATCGCTTGCAAAAAAGCACCCTATCATCTAGAATTAAGGATGCAATTTTTTTCAGTATTTGGTAAGAGGGAGTTAGATCTGATAAAAGCTAATGCAACTCCAAGAGAAATTTCAGATTGGAAGGCTTCGCCTAAGACACAAGCTGTTTATAATAAGCTTTTTGAGAAAATAGATCCTGATAACTCTCAAAATACATATATTACGAGAATCCTTGATAGGGTGTGGCCTGGTGGTGCCACACCTTCAACTATTCGATTGGCATATACAATTACTGTATACCAAGTAGTGCTTAGCAATCACTATGAAAATTTGACGTTAAAAGATACTAGGTGTAGCAATAGATTACAAAAAAATGTTGTAAGTAATATAGTATATAAAATATAATATTTAATATTCAGACTAAAATAATAACTTTAAATATTTCGAATATATGTGCAATACACAAATCTAAGGAAAAAATTGAAAAAGAATTACCATTTAACTCTGGTCTATTGACAGACACTGAAGGTGAAGATGCTGGATCATCAAGCCAACTATGAGAAAAAAAGCGAACTAGAGGCATCAAGATATAATACAAGATTTACAAAAAAGGCCAGAGCTGCCACACTATCACGAACCTCCGCCAGAACCTCATTAAGCCATGTTTCTGTATATACCTATTGCGCACATTTGCATACTTCCGGACTCATACACCTAATCTACAAGCTTCCACTACACCCTGCCAATTACAAACTTCACATGATACTGACCCTCAAAATTCTCAAACTAAAGATGCTAAGCATTTAGAAGAAGAAAAAGAAGAAAAAGAAAAACAAAATTAAAAATTTTTTTTTACATAATAATTATATCTCTTCTGATTATTTTTTCTTTTTTTTTTTCTATATGTTTTTTATGCCTTTTTTTTTGTTTTTTTTTCTATATTTTTTTTTATCTGTTTTTATATTTATATTTTAAATTATTATTTATTTGTATATATTTTTATTATATTATTATATTTATTAAATATATTATTATATTATTTTTATATAAATT